GCAGTAGACTTATATACCACTTCATAGGCCTTTCAGGCCTCTCTAAGCGGTTTACAGAGAGTCAGCATATTGCCCCCAACAATCTGGGTCCTCATAAGCAAAGTCTGCATGAGTCATTGGATTCACTTAACGACTTCAGGATTTGCTTTGGACATGCTGTGATTTGCTTAACAACCGTGACAAAAAAGGATCTTAAAAGCAGGGGGAACTCACTTAGTGACCTCACTAAAAAAACAGAAGGTCCAGTCTCAGTCATGGTCATAAGTCCAGGACTACTTATACCTGCCTGGGGAAATAGAACTAGATGTTTTAGGACACGTCTGGACACAGCCAGAGGCCTGCAGCCTTCTTCACAACTAAAGTTATGTTCACAGGTGGTATTCAACAGGTTCAGGCTGGTTCTGGTGAACTAGAAGCAGAAAGTTTAACCAGTTCGGAGAACCGGCAAAAACCACTTCAGGCTGGCCCTGCCCCAGCCCGCCCGCTCGCCTGGTTGACCTGCCCGCCCATTCACTCCGCCTGCCCGCTTGCCGCTCGCTCCACCCACCTGCTTGCTGCTTGCCCCGCCCGCCCGCGGCTTGCCCTGTCTGCTTGCGGCTCACCCCACCCACTCGCTGCTCGTCCTGCCCGCCCACTTGCCGCTTGCTCACCTTGCTGTGGGTGACGTTCAGTTGGCCACACCCACTCAGTCACATGACACCCCCCCCAACCTAGCCACACCCGCAGAACCAGCAGTAAAAAAAATATTTGAATCCCACCACCGGTTATGTTCTGGCCTGAAGGGAAAATTAGGGACTCACCAGGAATAGGCGAAGAAGGCGAAGAACGGGGCAGAGATGGCCAGTTGCAGCCAGTGCCAGTCGCGGATGGCGTAGGCCAACCCTGCCAGCAGCACCTGCCCACCCGTGCTGCAGTAGCTCTGGATGGAGACCACCACGGCCCGATATTTGGTGGGCACCCACTCCAGACCTGGGAGAGGGAGAGGGAGAGAAGCTGAAATTGCAGACCCCAGCAAGGGTAGGATCGATGTGGCTCAGGGTTGAGCTGAAAGTCTCTGAGCTCCATGGTTCATCTCATCAGCCAGCCAGCCAGCCAACATCATCAGTGCTAGAAGGGATGTGGGGTTTATGGAGAGGAGGAGGACTGTGGGGTCCTTGGTGCTCCCTGAACGTGATTGTTTTCTTCTAGACGTTTCATGACCCAACTAGGTAACATCATCAGTGCTAGAAGGGATGTGGGGTTGTGGAGGAGGAGGAGGAGGAGGAGGACGACGACGACGACTGTGGGGTCCTTGGTGCTCTCTGAGCTTGGTTGTTTTCTTCTAGACGTTTCATGACCCAACTAGGTAACATCATCAGTGCTAGAAGGGATGTGGGGTTGTGGAGGAGGAGGAGGAGGAGGAGGACGACGACGACTGTGGGGTCCTTGGTGCTCCCTGAGCTTGGTAGTT